CTCGCAGTAGAGTTGTTGCTCCTCCACGCCGAAAGGAGCCAGCTAAGGTGTCTCAGGCATCTGTTTCGGAAGCCTCCTGGTCGCCTCCCTTTGGAGGTGGTCCAGGCATGTCCCATTGGGAGGAGGCCTTGTGGAAGGCCCAGGACACGCTGAAGGGACTATATATCTGGGCTGGCTAAGTGCTGCTTTGGGGTCCCTCCAGATCAGCTGGAGGTAGTGTGTCTGAATATGGAAGTCTGAACTTCTTTGCTTAGACTGCTGTTTTCTCGACCTGGCCCCGGATAAGTGGAAGAAATGAATGGATGGTTGGATGGATATTGCCATTGTAGTCTAGCATTGTGTAGTCTAATCGCAGCATGGGATGAATGACCTGCCGTAGCGCTCCTTTTTACAAACAGGGTGTAAAAGTCTTTTACCAAAAGAGCTGCTTAGCTCCTCTACAATGTATTGCAGAGGGTGGAAGGTATGGTCCATGATGGATGTTTGCTTGGACAGCACACTCCTCTCAGCCACTTCCTTTACTCCAGAGTGCAGCCTAGGACAGAAACTGCCTTTCTCACCAGTTTGTTCAGTCTCTTTCTGTCCTGCTTTGCGCTGCCAGGGGCCCAGCAGACAGCAGCGTAGAGGAGAGCTGATGCCACTGTAACACTTGGGCTTGCCTGACTGCAATATGAGCTCAGAAGTAGATTCGGCTGTAGAGTCAAGGAGTGTGAATAAGCACAAGAAAGAAAATTATGATTAATAGTTGTATATTTATTTTCCAATAGAAAGAGTATGGGTTACATATACATGTTAATGAGCTATATTATATAATTTATATGGATATGAATTAATAGGATATACACACAAATGTGATAATCAATATAATTTCAAAGGAAAAAAACAAAACAAAAAAACCAAATATATTCCAACAGGATAATTCAAAAGAGCAAAAAACAAAACAAAATTAAACTCTTCAGTTCAATTAGTAAAAGGTTCACAGTTCATGAGGTCCATTGGGAAAACAAAATCAGAGGATCCAGGTTTGTGAGAACTTTTTCCTACCACACTGTATCGGTGGTTCTCTTGGTAGCTTGCCACCCAATGGACAGTCATAGGAACAGCACACAACAAAAAAACCCTGACCTGAAATCAGGCCAGAATCATAAATTAGTAAAATAATAAACAATAAATTTAATCTTAGCAATAAATAAAAACAATAAGTCAGTTAGTTATGCCATAAATCACAGCACTAAGACACATCAAATAATTTAAATAATAAACAAGATTTCTTTATGAAGCTTCAATGTTTCTAAATATCTCAAGTTAAATTAAAGTGCACTTATTCAAAGATGAAATCATGGGTCAACAAAAACCCAAATTATTTCAACAGTTCCATTTTAATTGTATTGCGCAACACATATCAATAAACAATCAAATCTATTTAAACAAAAAAAGAACCATGGTTTCTAAGGCTGGAAAAGTTCCAAACAAAGTTCTATAATTAACCCAAAGCATAAAAT